CTCTCTCTGTCTTTCTGGCGAGCGCATGCACCCTATAGCAAAAACCTCTCAAAAAAAAAAGAGAAAAAGAATAGATTATTTTAAATTTCCTTTCTTTAAGATTGTTTTAAACCATTTCCCCTTGTATTCTGACTGAAATGGAAAAGCCATAGCTTAAAAACAGGATTTAAACTTTTAAAAGAGAAAAGAATAGGACTGACCCAATTAACATTCATCTCTGGGGACCCAGAAGGTGATCTATTTTACAACAGCACTGAAATTGCTTTTTGACAATTTCTGTCTAATCCCCCTTAGACTCATGATATAGAAACCACTACCTCTATTGACCTAATTGACAGGCTTAATACTCATAACAAATCTGAGATCTAAAGTTAGTATCTAGCACTGAGAAAGATAAAGAGAATGCCCGGGAAACACAGGTACTTCCAAGCATTGAGAAGCATTTTTATAACGACTAAAAGCTTCAGTGAAATCAAAGATTGCTCATATGGAAGAATCCCTAGAACTCTCTATCTCATGAGATATTTAAAGCTAAAGTTCTTCAGTAGGATTTATGATAAAGGATTTTTCAGAAATCAAACATGAGGGATAATCTAGATTCAAAGATTCATTTATGTCTCCTACAGGGTGCACTAAGTGTAATAGCAAAGTGTCTTGTGGAACAATGGCTTCTTTCTATCACTTATTTCAATATTTTTCATCCTATTGCTTTGACTCTTTAGCTTTTTTGATGAAGCGGACTTCATTACAAAAATCTTCTTGATGGCAACTATTTTGGTAATATAAAAATAATACCACAAAAAATTTGGGGGAAAAGTATCTTTTCGTATTTGTTTTCACACATTTTATACTTTCTAGTGAACTCTACCTAGTAGATACTTCATATAACATCTGATAATTTCCCTATCTAATTAACTGAAAAAAGTCATTCCAATGATCATTTTCCTAGATCAATAAGGTGCCGAGATAATACACCCTAGATGCCTCAAACAAGAAACTCTCTCAAAGTGTAAGGAATAACTTCTATTCTCATATTAAAAATAATGGGTAGGGGCCAGCAGGTTGCACAGTGGTTAAGGCACTGGATTCCCATATGGTTGACCACAGTTCAAGTCCTGGATTTGAAATTCATGCCAGTTGTGCGTGCGCGCGTGTGTGTGTGTGTGTGCCCAAATCCCAAGAGGAGAATGGAAGAGAAGGGATTAAGAATTTTGGCATGGCCATTCCCTCTGGGTGGGGGTGGCATGATTTCTCATTCTCCCTCTCTCTGTGTCTCTGTCTCCATTGAGCACAACCACCCTACCACAAAAACCTAAAAAGAAAAAAAATATTTATTGAAAACATATCATGTGCTAGTTATTGTTTTAAATGCACATATTATTTAGTTTAATTATCAAACAGTTTATAGATAAGGAAATGGAGTGATGGAGAGATTAACTGACCAAAGGTGAAACAGCTTAAATAGCAGAGCTGGAGTGTTGTTGGTTCCTGAGCAAATTTATATTCTTAACCACTATGTGTCTACAAAAGTTAGATGCTGACATTTTTACAGGCACCTGGATGGAAGTTCCCTTAGGCTTTTATATCCTCAAAGTCTGTTTTTTTTTTTTGTTGTTGTTCCAAGGCTTTCTGATAGCTGCTCTTTTAGTCTGGAGTGGGGAGAAATCTCATGAGCATTTATGCATGTAAAGCTAGATGGACTAGCTTCAAAATATTTAAGGCAAGTATTACAATGAGGCTTATATTAAAATGGACAGTCTCAGGCTTATGGTAAACTTCAAATTCGTCACTCTCCCAGTAGTATACCATAGAAACTAAGAATTATCACTCAAAAGTGAACTGGCTCCACTAGTATTACTGTTAGTCTCTTCAACAGTATCATAGCAACAGAAAAAGATTTTATAAGTATGACTCTAATGTGAACTTGTTGAAAACAACTGGTTAAAAGTTGATCCTTTATTTCCAGAGTGTAGTGGCACACATCTAGTAGCAATGTAGTCCCTTAATACCATTTTATTAAGATGACAGATACCCTTTGCTTTCCTCTCCTCTGATCTTTAGACTGGAAAGAAAGCCAGTGAACTGGTAAAATACACAAGATTCTAGGGAGATTTCCTTATATTCTGAAGGGAAGATATCTCAGTAAATGTTTGGGGTAGAGATGATGATATTCTCCACTCATTTCTGATGGCGACAAGTGAACAATGAAAACTCTAACTTTATTATTTACTATTTGCCTAGAAAATATGACAATAATAATGTCTTAAAAGTGTGTGAAGTCAGTACAGTCGTCTTTTTGTAGATTTTATACGGGTGTTTTATGGCTATTAACAGAGGTAATGTTAACCCTTTCTAAATACTTGAATGCTTATATGGCAATCAGGTTTTAAAAAATTAAAAGCCATAATCTGATTGCAAAAATAACTTTTCTAATGACTATCAAAAGTAGTCCATAAGCCCCCATCAGCTAATACTTGTTTTAATTTAGTGTGGAAAAGAATAATTAACTCAAACAATTTTCAGTAAACATTGTCAACATCTAGCACAAAGTAGAGCAAATAAAACACATTAGCTAATTAAAAAAAGCATTGAAAAGTCTCTCTAAAACGCCCTTAGCTTGACTAAATAAATATGTGGGAGCTGGTCAATTATTTTTCCCACTTGAGTTTATTTCTGAAGCTAAACCTAGGACTGAAAGAAGTCTCTATATGAAGCCCAAAGAAAAGCTCTATTGTGTGGAACCCAAGGTCTCTCCTTGTCCTCCATGAGCAAGATAACGACTAAGCGCTAGTCTCTGACAATGTCAGGAAAGTAACTGATTCAGGGTACTCACCACCGAGTCTTTACTCAAGGGTAACAGATGACAAGAAAGACATAATTTTGGTATTACAGGAAGTTGTTTCTTCTTTGTGCCATTTATTTCAGAAAAAGAAAGTTCTTTCATATTAAGAAGGATCTATAAATAAATCTAAATGTTTGCTACAAGTATGATCATGTAAGCAAATTCATAAAAAACTGTGGTCAAATTTTGGTAGGGTGGCAGATTCCATAATAATCACTATCACCCCAAATATCCATGTTCCCTCCTTCTCAATGATCTTGGGGTTTTGTTGAAGTAATAAATAAAAATAACTAGGATCACTCACATTCTTATATATCCCCAGTGGATATAGAGATTACTTAAAATAATCTTTCCGAGTTGAATCTCTTAACAGTATCTAAATGAACTGAAGTAGATTTCGTCACTTCTTAAAAATATTTAAATGGGATGGGAACCAGCAGTTAGCATAATGGCTATGTCGCTGGACTCCCACGTAGTTGACCGCGGTTCGCGTCCCGGACCGGGTGGCTTAAAACTCATGCAGGGCGCGTGTGCGTGCGTGCCCAAGATCCCGAGAGGAGAATGGAGGAGAAGGGATTGCGGCATGACCATCCCCCCTGGGGGGTGATTTCTCGCTTTCTGTCTCGATGTCTCTCTCTGTCTGTCTGGCAAGCGCATGTGCCCTATTGCAAAAATCTCTCCGAAAAAAAAAAAAAATTAAATGGGCAGAGTTAGCGCAAAAGCAGTACATAAAAAAAAAATGGTGTCACTTTACATGACAAAGAGACAATCCAGATAAAGCTGGCTATAAAAGTAGATGATGGGTATGGATTTTGCCAATGTATCTAAATATGGCAACTTTTTAGTGGGGGGAAAAGTCTTTATACAAAACGTTTTTAGTAAAACATAGGTTATATAAAAAACACTTAGATACTAGCAGCATACAGAATTAATAATTTCAGGTAAGAAAACAAAGGTCCTCTATCTAAATATTATCATAATCTCCAAGTGAAAAAAAAAATCCAGAAAAGGTGAAAAGACATTCTTTCCTAAGTACTGAATGTATGTTACAGATAAATAGTCTTTGGGTCCTAATGTATAGGAAATTGGTTATTATATAACATTTTTGTCTGCTATCTGTCTCCAAGCTAAGCACAAAGCTAGGCACCTAATGAGTAAAATGTAGTTCATGGAAAGAACTACTATTGGGACCAGCAGTTAGCGTAATGGCTATGTTACTGGACTCCCATGTAGTAGACCGTGGTTCGCATCTCGGACCTGGTGGCTTAAAACTCACAACGGGCACGTGTGCGTGCGTGCCCAAGATCCCAAGAGGAGAATGGAGGAGAAGGGACTGCGGCATGGCCATCCCCCCTGGGGGGTGATTTCTCGCTTTCTGTCTGTCTCTGTCTCTCTGGTGAGCGCATGCACCCTATTGCAAAAACCTCTCCAAAAAAAAAAAAAAAGAAAGAAAGAACTACTATTGGCAGTAAGGCCTATGTTCAAAACCCTAGCTTAACCATTTCCTACTGTGCGACAAGTCTCCCTGAGCCTCAGCATTCAGAATCTCAAACAACTCTTGTCCTAGGAGGTTGCTAGAAACATTAAATGAGACTTCTGTGACTCTTTATTAATATCATTCTACTGAGCATATATAACCAATTCAATAGTTTTAAAATTCAGGAATGATAACTAAACTACATTTAAAAAAAAAGACTTGTCCCTTTAATATGGTCTCCATACTTAGATCTTGAAGTCAAACCAGTGCCAAGGGCTGGATGGAGAGACTTTGCCTTCTGTTTTCCTCATAAGATCACATTCACTTCCAAACTACATAACTATATTTGTCAGCATCATTATTTTTATTCAAAATACACTCTGAAACACATTATTTTTGAGATTTTTTTTTTTTGCTGTAGGACACTTGTGCTTGCCAGAGAGTTAGAGAGTAAGAAATAACGCCACAGGGGGGTGGCCAGGCTGTGATCCCTTCTATTCCATTCTCCTCTTGGTTTTTTGGGCATGCACACACATGCACTCACTGTGAGTTTTAAGCCACCAGGTCCAGGACTTGAACCGCGGTTGACTATGTGGGAGTCCAGCGACTTAGCCATTACACCATCTGCTTGTCTCCAAACAGTTGTCTTAAACATTTTTTCCTGTTTTTTGGCTCACTTGTTTCATTCATGAGAATGAGTGTGAGAACAAGAGAGAAGGGTAGGAGGAGATATAAGCACCCTCAACAGAGTCCCTCGCCATGACATCCCTCAGCCCTCCCAGTCAGCCAGGATCATGGCATGCTTCTGGCCAGCAGCTAGTGAGGAACCAAGGCTGCCAGCATCCACAAGTGTGCCTGAAAGAGGATTCTCTAGTTCCAGTTTAGCTCTGAGATAACTGGATCCCTGGCCAACACATTTGACTGTGAGTAACTTCATGAGGAACCTGGAGCCAGGACCACTCAGCTAAATGCTCCCAGATTACTGAGTCAGAGAAACTGTATGAGACGTGCATAGATTTAATGTTTTGGGGTGATTCATTATGTGGCAATAGATTATACAGATTACAAAGGTCCTTGATAACCTAACCGTTTTCTGCTTCTCTAAACTTCGTTCATCTCACTCTCTGTTTGCTTTTTACTCTCCAGTTACATAGGCCTTCTTTAAATTCCTTTAAGAACCAAGCTCTCAACCTTATCATCTCTGCATCTGCTCTTCCTTCTACCTTGAATGTTCATCCTCCCAACATCTGAGTGGCTGGTTGCATTTCATCCTTCAGCGATTTTTCTCTCTCCTGGTTCCACCTGTCTAACATATATCCATCTTTTACTTCACCCAGCACCTATTTTCTTCACAGGGCTCATGACGACCTATAATTCTCACTCTCCCCCCACCAACATAAGAATGTAAGCTCCGGAACCAGTAGTTAGCATAATGGCTATGTTGCTGGACTCCCATGTAGTCGACCGCGGTTCGAGTTCCGGACCTGGTGGCTAAACTCACGCAGGGAATGTGTGCGTGCGTGCCCAGGATCCCGAGAGGAGAATGGAGGAGAAGGGATTGCGGTGTGGCCATCCCCCCTGGGGGGTGATTTATCACTTTCTGTCTCTCTGTCTCTCTCTGTGTTTCTGGTAAGCGCACACACCCTATAGCAAAAACCTCTCCAAAAAAAAAAGAAAAGAAAAGAAAAGAAAAAAAGAATGTAAGCTCCATATTAGAAAGCCCCCCAAAGAGCAGGAACTGTACTTATTACATTCTTCATCCTACATTAATTCAGGGATAGAAAAGAACAGGACCTAAATGAACATCTGTTGAATAAATAAACAAGTTGAAATACCTTTTTTTTGCAAAAAACAAAAACTCTAAAACTCCAGTTATTGACTATAGTCATAGAGACCATTTTCAGTAAGCATTGAGTAGAAGGGGTTTCCTTGCCAGTGGAAACACAATTTTATAATGATAACTAGAAGAAAGTGTTCAGCATACTTACTTGATTTTGGCCACAACAAACAGATCATTGAATAGGAAAAGATGCCGCTCCTGCCTCTGCAGGCCTCTTCTGAGTTCAACCCGGCCGTCAATCAGCAGAGTCCTACTGGAGCACACAAATGATGACAGAAATGCACACGTGTCAACACTGGCTGCAGGGCTCTCCCTGTAACATCAGATACCACAGATCAGTTGGAGATGGTCAAATATAAGAACAAGCTTTCATAAACTTAGCTTATAGCTTAGTGGTCAAGAAATAGAAAACTCTTACTATTTTTTAATGCAACAGCAAAGTGTTTCCCAGTTATTTCTATACTGTAGTAGCCTTTAATACTTTGCTATGAAAATATTGAAACATAAAGCTAAGTTAGAATAGTTTTAATAAGGACACGTGTACCCCAAGCTAGATTCTATCATTGGTATTTTTCTATACTCACTTTATCATGTGCTATACCTATGCAACTCTCCATCCTATTTAGTCAGTAGCCCATTTTATTTTGACATTTCATTATAGACTGCATATTGCAAGCACATATTTCCCTGTATATAAGGGGACTTCAAAAGTTTGTGGGAAAAAATTGGAATTAATGTATTAGTTTATTTGGTTGTAAAATAACTTTAAAATTTGTGCATTTAAAAAAAATAATATGAATCTTCCATGAACTTTTTGAAGATCGGTCATATTTGAGTTTCTCCAATTTACTGATTAAGCCTTCCAAACAAAATTCTACAAACCTAACTCTAGCTAAATGTGAATATTTTTGAGATACAGCTTAAAGTGTAGTATTAGTTTATTTGGTTGCAAAATAACTTTAAAATTTGTGCATTTTTAAAAAATAATATGAATCTTCCATGAACTTTTTGAAGATCGGTCATATTTGAGTTTCTCCAATTTACTGATTAAGCCTTCCAAACAAAATTCTACAAACCTAACTCTAGCTAAATGTGAATATTTTTGAGATACAGCTTAAAGTGTAGAATAAATATCCTTGGTGGCCAATATTTACCATCACAAAGAAAAATCTTTTGTCTCTCAAATTATTTTGGGATAGGGACCAGAAGAAGGTACAATAGCATATTTTAGTATGGAGTGGTGATTTCAAGTTTACAGAAAACAAGAATAAAGTTTCGCTTGCTCTTGTCAAAGTTGAGCACGGACAAGGCTGTAAGCAATGAATGGATGAACAGCTAAGATAATATTTTACCCAGCTTTACTTTCTTTATAGAATGACAGGAAAAGTTTGCAATGAATATCTTTGAGATACAGCTTAAAGTGTAGAATAAATATCCTTGGTGGCCAATATTTACCATCACAAAGAAAAATCTTTTGTCTCTCAAATTATTTTGGGATAGGGACCAGAAGAAGGTACAATAGCATATTTTAGTATGGAGTGGTGATTTCAAGTTTACAGAAAACAAGAATAAAGTTTCGCTTGCTCTTGTCAAAGTTGAGCACGGACAAGGCTGTAAGCAATGAATGGATGAACAGCTAAGATAATATTTTACCCAGCTTTACTTTCTTTATAGAATGACAGGAAAAGTTTGCAAGGGGAAAAGTCACCTTTTGCATTTTAGTTTAGGTATCTAGTAAATAACTGCTCTTAGATTTTAATAATAAAAAAAACTGCATACAGTATGGTACAAAGACAGCAGTACAGTTTAAACTAAGGATCCTCAAACTATTACTCAAAGATTCAGATAACAAATAGCTTGGGCTTTGTGGGCCACCAGGTCTCTGTCGAAACTATTCATCTCTGCCCCTTGATCACAAAATCAGTTGCAGACAATATATGAATAAATAGGAGTGAATATTTTTCCAGTAAAACTTTCTTTACAAAACCAGGTGGCTTATCTGTGCCACAGTTTGTTGATCCTTGCTTGAATAATACTTCTAAAATGTTTAGGTGCTTACAAATAAAAGCTAGTCTGAAGCTCTTAGGGAGGTTTCTCTTTTTCTTTTTCTTTGCTTGGGGTTAGCCTAAGCCACATATTAGTCAAGCTATTTTTAAAAAGTGGTTTGCACTTTTGTTGTTTTAGTTTTGCCATAGGGCAAGTGCGCTCACCAGAGACAGACAGAGGGAAAGTGAGAAATCGCTCCCTGGGGGAAATGGCCATATTGCAATTCCTTCTCCTCCATTCTCTTCTTGGGATTGTGGGCATGCACACACAAGTGCCTAGTGTAATTTTCAAACTGCCAGATCCAGGACTCGAACCATGGACAGCCATGTGCCTGTGGCCCCAGTGGTTTGCATTTTAAAACAATTTCAAAGGATTCTTGGACATACCTCCTTTTCCACCTTATAATAATATTTTCAAATGACTAGATTCAGTGGTATTGTCTGGAAGAATCCTCAGTGAAATTAAAACATATTTCTGTGTGGATTTATCACCATACCTGTCTATAGTCTGCCATTTTAAAGATCAACACTTCAAGACTCAAGATATTAGCAAGCTAAACACTGGTTTAAAAAAAGCAACATTCATGCACTACTCTGGGATAAAAATAAACATCTCAGTCCTCACATAATTTAAAAAGAAATTCTTTTACGGAAGGAAACAAAAACACAAATAACCTTTGTGTTTTTAAAAACTATAATCCTAATCAGTGTTTCTGACTTTAAAATATATTTCTCAATTATGTGACTCTGAAGTGTTTATTTTCATTCCGAGTGTAATGTAGATGTGTTTATTTCAGACTCTTAAGAGTATGGAAATGGGGGGAGAATAAGATTATAACCTTCTATTTAGTCTCTTAATATAGTCTGACTAAGATTCATGAGTTATTGGGCCAGAAGGTGGCATGGTGGTTAAGACACTGGACTATCACATGGCCGACTGGAGTTCAAGTCTTGTACCCTATGGCTTAAAAATCATGCCAGGTTTGTGTGTGTATGTGCCCCAAATCCCAAGAATTAAGAAGGGATTGTGGGGAACCAGCAGTTAGCGTAATGGCTACGTCGCTGGATTCCCATGTAGTCGACTGCGGTTCGTGTCCCGGACCCGGTGGCTTAAAACTCACACCGGGCGCGTGTGCGTGCGTGCCCAAGATCCCGAGAGGAGAATGGAGGAGAAGGGATTGCGGCGTGACCATCCCCCCTGGGGGATGATTTCTCGTTTTCTGTCTCTATGTCTCTGTCTGTCTGGCGAGCGCACGCGCCCTACAGTGAAAATCTCTCCAAAAAAAGAAGGGATTGTGGCAATGGCCATTACCCCTGGGGGGTGATTTCTCACTTTCTCTCTCTCAAGTGAGTGCACACATCTTCTGGCAAGAATTAAAAAAAAAAGAAAAAAGAAAAAAAAAGATTTACAAGTTACAATTAAAGGAGTTCTAAAGTGATCTAACAAATATAAGCAGAATCTAAGAAATAACCTGTTGCTTATTACCTATGTATTATATTACATTTTTAAAGGGTTATGAGGCCATTTCTTAAAGGCAAAAAGGAGTTCCATTAATTTTTAACAAAAACTAGTTAATAGCTTTCATGAAACCTGGCCATAGTAGTATCTTCTGGTGTTTATTACCAAGGCTCATTCTAAAAGTGAGTCCCCTTTACAGTTTTAGAGGTAGTGTTGCTTCATTATTAATCACAAGAGAACATAAACTGAAGTTCGGAATATATCTTGGAAATGTCTGTGTTTATAAGTAGTAATCAATTAGAGATTACGATGACAAGTTCTACATATGATCTGTATAACCTTATACAATAACTAGTACATAGTCACTTAATAACTGAATAAAATTTGTCTTCTCCCAATTTTCCCAGATTTCAAAGCCTACTCCAAATGCCATCTCTTCCATGAAAACTTTGACACAGTTAAACTTTGCTTGGCATCTCTTTTATCTTTTGCTAGGTATCTGCCATTAGCCAAGCATGTGGGACAGATTTTGTCCCTGGCCTTGAGAAGTTAGCTGTCCGGTAGAGGAATCCAACAAATAAGCCCAAGGAAAAATCCATGAGGGAAGTGCAATAAAAGAAATGCAGAGGGCAGAGAAACACAGAGGAGCCCCTGTGTGAGACTGGATTAATTGAGAAGTTCCTTGGAGAAACCATTCTTGAAGGATGGACAGACAGACCACTTGGAGGCCGAAGGGCATTCTAAGTAGAAGGGAGACTATGTCAGCCATGCTTTGTGTGGTGCAGTAACTGGGATTTTCAGAAAAGTGGGGACTGCAGGGCCTGAGGAAGAGTAGCAGCAGATGAGGAAGGTGCCAGACCATGCATGCTTTTTTTGTTTTTGTTTTTGCTATAGGGTGTGTATGCTTCCTGGAGAGAGAGACAGACAGTGAGAGGGAAAGTGAGAAATCACCCCCTTCTCCAGGGGAATGGCCATGCCACAGTCCCTTCCTCTCCATTATCCTCCTGTGAGTTTGGGCATGTATAGACATGTGCCTGGCATGATTTTTCATACCACCAAGTCCAGGGCTCAAACTGTGTCAGCCAGGTGGGATCCAGTGCCTTAGCCACCAAGTCACCTATTGATTTTTTTTTTTTTTTTTGCTATAGGGCGCGTGCGCTCACCAGACAGACAGACAGAGACAGAGAGATTGAAAGCGAGAAATCACCCCCCAGGGGGATGGCCACGCCGCAATCCTTTCTCCTCCATTCTCCTCTCGGGATCTTGGGCACGCATGCACACGCGCCTGGTGTGAGTTTAAGCCACTGGGTTTGGGACTCGAACCGCGGTCGACTACGTGGGAGTCCATCGACATAGCCATTACGCTAACTGCTGGTCCCACCTATTGATTTTTTTAAAATCATGCTAATCCTAATTGAATTTTCTTCTTTCTCTTTTCTCCACACTATACTGCTCAATTCTCATTTCTATTAAATTAATCTTCCAAATTCACAGAACCGAAGATCACAGCAACTTATGTTATCTAAAGAATAAGAGCAACGCGTCAACCTAGTAAGTTCTAGCATCTATTTCTCTGATTATGATGTGTCAAGTTAGAATCTTTATTGCTTTTATAAGGAGTAATTATGGTGAGTCTTAGCATATATGTTAATATAGAAGTAATTTGGAATAAAAAAAAATGACTATTGACATAAAGCTTCAAAACCACTCTCAACATCCAAACTATCTTATTCAGCAATGATAACTGTCGATTCAATATTCAGGACTATCTAGACCATGTCAGCATTAAAAGCACATTATCTGGAAATG